GAGGGCAAAAAATTTGCGGCAGGAAAATACACTTGGCCCTATATTCCCAGGATTCTTCGGGAAGGTTACCTAGGAGGAAAGCGCCAATAAAGTATAACATTTGGATGCAATTGTTTAGAATATGCCCCATTAAGCACTCAGTACGAACGGAACATCATTCCTATGGTAATGGCTAATTGTGATTCGTTCTCATCCCCTTCATATTCTCATTCACTGGGCCATACCGATCTTTTTTGTCGGTCAGAGTTATTAGTGATGACCGGTGAACTATCACTGCGTTCCCTGAAACCAAGAAAAGGTAGATACACCCGGTATCTAAAAGGGAAATCGCCTGAAATCACTCATGTAGTGCAACGCTCTAGTTATCAAATCACAGCGTTGAAAAATTCAGTTAATAAGTTAGATAATAAACAGGATCCAATGAAAATCTAGTTGAAAAATTGCGATTTTTTGTATCCTGAAAATCAGTCTCGCTACTCCTGCTGAAATACTGCACCGTCNCCGTCTTTCGATGCTAAATAGATATTGAGGCAATTACATTTGGTTCATAAGAAGCAGTGAAATTTGGGGAACCTTGGCTTCGAGAGAATTCATGCTCTTAGTTATTGAAAGCATACACTGAACCCGTCCGCGCAACGATCAATTGTGACGTTCACGCCTGAGCATGGTGCTCGACTTGTCAATTCATCTTGACGTTATTCGGTTTCTTACTCGATCGACCGAGGTTGATTCTGTCCGAGTTCATTCTTTCTCGTCTAAAGTTCACTCAAATAACAGTCGACTACACGAGTTTGGTGGACGAACGGTCAAACTCCACCTCACCGAAACCTTCATACTAACTCGTTAACCCACTACAAAGTACTTCTTGTTTGTTTTTAAAAGAATCAGTTCATTCTGCCTGGATGGGTGTTGTGGTAAATCCGGTTCAGTATGTGACATATACCGGCGAATCCCAAGCAGAATGTGATTGGTGGATTCTTTCGAAGCTCTAACCGCTCTAGTTGACGTCGAAAGAGGTTAGAAGGCACGTTGCCGGGACATCAGAATGACTAACCCAACACNAAGTTGACCGTTTGTCATTTCTTGTTGTTATTCATCTTCCCGCCTTGCTAATGTCGAATACATTGGGTACGATTTGGGAACGCCCATTTTAGGAACACTCATCAACCGTTTTGATGGTGACATTTCAAACCGCTCGACTGACCTGAACCTTATCTATTGTGATCTATTTACTCACGGTTTCACACATTGCCTTGTGTTGTATTCCCGACCCTTTTTTGTACTACATCGAAACACGTGAGATTTCGTTGTCTCAGTTGTACCGGTTCACGCATCGCTAACCTCATTGAGTGAAAACACCTGTGTCTGATCCGGTGTCATATTGATATTCACATGAATCCATCCTCTGGAGATAGTATGCCACTGGAAACCACTGTGCACATGATAAAAGAAGTATTGCGGTTTTCAAGTATTGAATTTTCTTTCATTGGTCTAATAACAAATATATCCGCATAAATTAAAAACCGTTCATCGATTTTTCAAGCAGCATCACTATTCAATACCCCTCGCATTTAACGTCAATTAGTGGTAACCTAACTGCCTAAAACCTGGTTGGAAATTCTCATTATTAATCCCTTAATCATGCATGCATCCTTCCTGTTTGTTTAATTGTTCCATGGTTTTTAACATTGGTGTATTGCTGTTCTTCTCCCTGTCCGTGCCCTCTCANCTCATCTGTTCTGAATGAAATCCCTTGTTCCGTCCCCTCTCCCAACGTCGTTGTTCTTTTCGTTTGTGGGCGAATAGCCTATCCTCATCTGCTTCTTGCTCAACGTCAAGTTCCCCGCCCCGTGCTGCCACTCCGTCCATCGAAACATATGTGACCAAATCTGGTGCCGTGTCCAACTCGTAACCCGTGCGTATTATTTTCTTATGAGTACTTATGCCTATATGCATGTGTTGATGCATCTGTGTTTTGTTCACAAACAAATATTGCGCTTTTATTTTCTCACCACAGTTTCTGTGTCGTCGTTGTCTCTTTTGCTTCTAGCTCATTTATATCCCTAACTGTTGTCGCTTTGTATCAGCTGTTTACATCAACTCACCTATTCGATCACTTGATGTTCCTTTCTCGGGAAACAAATGAGCTCTCTCTCTAACACTGTTCAAATTTCCGTGGAATTCATTTGCTGGTGTGATGTTCGTTAGACGCAAATAACAAATTTGCTTATCCTACTCACTTTCATCCGCTGTGTGGGGCATCTCTCTCTGTGCTCGAGTACAGTTTCCAGTCACTGGTTACGTTGGAATATCTGGTTTTAATTTTTTTCAGTAACGCACCAGGTAGTATTTCTAAATACATTACAATGTCACATACCTCGCGTTGACGACATCCCGACACAGCCTCATAACAATTGTGCTCGAGGGAGATAGACACCACTAGGTTTTCGTTTGTCTCAACGCAATTGAACCCCAATATACAAGAGAAAGTGTCCATCAATCCGGACTGCAGAAGGGATAATCTTGTATCTCTTTTCAACATGCCCTGGGCCGACCGATCAAGACACTGGATGCTCGACGAATAACGTGAATGAAGCCAGTTAGATCCAATAGATATTGGAATTATAATTTATTATAGTTATAATTATTTGTTATTATTATTATTTATGTTTCTCAACGGGCCAATATAATAGTAACGTAAAGTATTTCGTTACGCTACAGCAGTTTGGTGATTGTGCAAACTCCGTCGAACGGTTGTGTTACTCTGTTTTTTTCCAATTTTTTTCAACGAAATAATATTCACGAAGACTTAGACTGTTCGTGAGTTTCCCTTTCATTGACAAATTCATTTGAACTATATAATCCGGACTTTAACACGATCATTAAAATATGAGTTTGACAATTACCCTAATTCAGACCTCCTATTCAATCGTTTTTTATCCTCTTCCGTATCCGTTTTTGTTACGTTTTTTTGCCCCGTTCAGATTCACTCGCCTGTATCGTTCGAGAAGTTTGAATTTCACCCGTACCACCGTCCATCGTTATGTCTATCACCACCCCTCACCTCCTACTTTGGGCTCGCACAGTAAAAGCTCCCCGGTGCCTTGTCGTCGCGTCAGTTCCCAGGACCAGTCAGTCATCAAATCATCTTCGTTTAATCCACCCACACAAACGACCCCGACAGTGACCACTCCAACACCTCCTCGAGCTGAATCGACCACAACTAGTGTGACACCGATACAAATCACGGATTCTGAAAGTCTCTTCAATTTGCACATCACCCCGGAAAGCAACAGCACCACGGGTGTTTCTACTTTACGTGAAAGTGAGAACAGTCTTTTTAACAGCCAGGTGAATCCGACCGATTCCGCATCCACCAAAACTCCATCACCGAAAACCACACAAATATCGATCAATACAACTCTCCCCGGTCAGTCCGAGGACAATCTGGATCCGGAGCTCATCATGGACCAGAGAGCAGATAACGAGGTCAGATCCTTGATCAGAATCATCCGTGAGTCTCGAACTCGGCCTGATTCGACAGGCTCATGCCGATCCAGCATATCGTCTCGCTGTGAGAATGATGCGCGGCGAGCCAGTGCCGAAACCCTATCTCCCACGGGAACCGTGATACTAGTGTGTCGTTCGATCACCCCGAAACATTTAGTCTCAGATTTCTCGGATGATGGTTCTCGTTCACCCGCGGATTGTGATTAGTCCCCGAATCCTTTCAATTTCCCCTCTCACGTCCACATTCCAGTTCATTTTTTATACGTCTGCAGCAAAATTTGCTGTCCCATCCTCGTTTTTTTCAATCTTCCCTTCTGTTGAGCTTCTATTTCACAGCTGTTCATTCTCTGGTTTCTTCATTCTACGATTTGAACTCCGTCTCCCAGTTTTCAAGTCTTCTATTCACCTGTACATATACTGATGTTTTGTGCCCCCATGTGTGATGTATCAGAAGAAAAGGACAACGCGACAGTGCTGTGGCACATGTGTGTGTGTGCGCGCATGCCAGTGTTGTATCTCTAATGCAAAGCCTGTTCCACTGGTTGCTTCTAAACGCCATGTCTCATTCAACACTTTGTTCGCCATCACATCAGCTTCTTGAACGTCCACTAGACTCCTCTCTATTCATGTTCTGCTCGTTTTTTTCGCGTTCATATTTTTTGCCGTAATGCTGGGTGTGCCCCTGTTTGTTTGGTCGATCGCTTCGCACGCTTCCCACCCACCCCCCCGCTCGACCCTGTCTGTTGCTGCCCCGTTCTTCCATGCACAGTCCACCTCGTGACAGGACTGGCCGGGTTAAGGAAATCCCCCCCCCACAATGTTATTGAACTGTTTGCACATGTGCGTGTTGCCCTCTTTCTCTCCCTGTGTGACGTGGACCAGTCTCCATGGTTAATTAAAACCCAAGATTGCACTACTTGACGCGGCCTTTTATATACCAATTCGAGGACGGTATCACGGGGTGGGTGGGCGGAAGAACTAGTTAAGTCATGATTTTCTCTCTCAGGGCTCAAATACTCTATTGGTACACCAATTTTCGTTCCTGCATCGCTCTGCCAGCTTTTCTACTGTTATCTGAGTTATGTGACGCTGCTTCGAATATGATAATAAGTCCATATTATCATCAGGACAGGGATTATGAGATAAAATGCTCCTCTTGTTTGCACAAGTAGGTGCTAACTAACTGTTTATTCTGAACCCAGTTGTTTTGTTTCCAGTCCCAATAAAATTGCGTGTGATGAAGAAACAGGCGATCAAGGCTTGGTAGCCTGGTTCGCATGATTATAGTTCACTCCCATCTTTGTTTGATGATTCGGGTATGGATTCGCCAGCTATAAATTAGTATGAGTTATCGCATCTTTCTGCCAATACAGTTCACTTAACACCCGCAGCCGAATTTAAAGGTTCGATCTGATATGGTACGCGTCAGAGGTGTCGGCTTATAGATCAGGACCGGTATCTTCGATCAGGTTTGCAATATGACTAGTTCATCTGCATTATGGTTGGCTTGAAGCACCGTCCCTAGGTACCACCACTAACATCACTGTCCTTGAGTGTCAAGGGGGCAGAAATTGTGCAGTTTGGGAAACGGGCTTCTCGTTTTTGGTTCGACCGACGCTCAATTACCAAATAAATTTTCCAGTTGGCGTCCTAGAAAACCCTGGTAATTCTTATTTCCAACTCTGATCCTGAGCTATTGGTCGAGGAAAGACACGTGGAGAATGGGCTACGGGATCTCCGTGCATATGGACTACAACTGATGGCTGCGCCCCGCTTCTTGCTGTACGCGAAACAGATCCAGGCAGCATCGTCAAAACCCGAGTGTTCCTGGTTGCACAACTTAAACTTTTATCCTAGAAGATAGATGAGACATCCACATTCATTGATTGTGTTCTATCTTTCAGTAATCGGGCAGGACAAATGATACTGGCCCGACGGTTCTACAGGTTCTACTCAAGTGAGCTCTTATCCCAAAAGTTCTGTTATGCTAGACGACTGAACGAGCGAGTTATTTGATCTTCAGATAAGTTAATTCTTTCATATTTAAAATCATTCAGTACAGCGGCGTTTTCTTCAATTTGCTGTCTGAAAGGAAGATCCGTGGGTTTTTTACAGGATGTGTTCCGTACTACGTGTGTGGATTATTTTGGAAGAAAATGGTACAGCTCACCTGCAAATTTAAACTACCACTAAGTAGTCTCGTTATAAACACGAAATGATTGAAATTGAGCAATTGGCTTGAATTCGAACGGTAGATGTCATTTCACAAGATTCCAAAATGACTAGAAAATACGTGAAGTGCTTCACGCATGCGTTTAGAGCTGGGGTGCTTGCTGTCGCCGACAGGTCGATATGTTTAAGTGTTACAGCCCATTATCAACCCTAAGTTGAAATGCACTACGCATAATAAGCAATTTGTTTTTATTTGAATTTCTTCACGGTCAAATAATCATGCGAAAGAGCTCCCGAGCTGATCGGTTCACTATCGACGACCATCACCGTTACTTACGGTTAATCCAATTTTAAAATAAAATACTTAACTGAATTGGGCGTATAATTTTGCTGTTTTGCAATCTGTCTATTTTCTTCTTCGAAAATTCATGAGAAAATCAAACCATTGTTTACAGTGTTAAGTTCGAAAGTAAAATGTTGAGAAATGAAAGAAACATGAATTTATGTGAACAGTGTGGAGTCCAGATGAAATATGAGTTAACCGAGGGAGAATCATCCGACTGTTACGTGACCACCTGATAGCTCAATTTGTTTCTTTTCGGGTGGGCTGAACGGTTTCCAAATCAAGCAGTCGGCCACGGTGAGTCTGGGTTGACTGGTTTGAGGACGAATACGCCGGGATGCCGAATTTGATGACGTCTGTAGTTTCGGCTGATTGTTCTCCGTTGCTTTCGATGCTTCTGGAGCTTGGTAACTTTCACGATACGAGGATTTCAAGGATCCAGCAGTTAGCTGTGAAAATAGGAAACAAGAACTCAGCACAAATGTTTATAAAGATATGGTCATGAACCGAATATGGAATCGTGGAATTTTTAGTGAGACAAACCATGTGGGAAAACATCATATCAGTTCAATCAACCTGTGAGGCCCTGGATCGATATATGTTTATTGCTGATGAGACCCAACCAGGTGGAAACAACAATAAAGTTAATCCTAGCTTTTCAGTTCAGCTCTGTACAGTCGAATTTCATAAAATATTGAAAAATAAATCCTCCACTATTCAAATGTTTCTGTTGTTATTTTTTAAGCTGCACTCCACAACCTATTTTGCTATCACTCGTTATCATCGTGGTTTGAGCGACTTCCAGGCTTCTAACTATTGCGCATATTCGTGTTTCCTTCAGCTTTCTTGTTGGAGCTCACAACAGAGCAATTTATCGATTCATTTGGTTCTTACCGTGCGGACTCCATAAACCGTTTTCAGTGGATAAAGCCGAAACGAAAGGAAAACTTACCCCAAGGTTGGGAAGGAATTCAGAGATCCGTTTGTTCATATCCACGGCACCTGTATTATTGTACACTACCTGGTATGTGGTCAGACTGGCCTGTTCACCATCCTCATCTTTGGTCCATCGAAAGGAGCGAAAGGTGGTGGCCGCACTGGACGGTCGGTTCGATCGACGTCGACGTCCGGCAGTCTAAAACCAATCAATCATCATACAATTTGGACTGAAATAGTTGTTATCAGAATCAGGCACACATCTGCGGTTTTCAATCACTACTCACCCGGTCCAAATGACTGCCATCTTTTTCCAACAAGCGCCGGTTATCATGTTCGGAGAAAACGTGTTTATGCGTTGGTTCCTGAAAATGATGCTCTCGTAAGTCAATGCACAGTGATGTTACATTATTGTTCTACACTCAAAATCACGTACACAAACCATAGTTGTGCTGAACTTACAGCTAATCGCCTTAGGAAAAGGTACGGTGGATTTGGTTTGGCTTCAGTACGGAACTGAATATTGGTTTCACGGCGTAGAGCATCGAACGATGAGCCGAAAAATCCTTCCGGATACTGGTGGAAATGTGATTACGTGAACACATTCAAATGGGTGCATTACCCACGATCCTGTGTAGTGTTTTAAAGGCATTCTGCTCAAAGGAGATTTTGTACAAACTAAAAAAAGGACAATATGACTTTCGTTGAGTTGCATTTTGAAATGATTTACCGAAGATAGTGCAATAATCAACGGGTTCTTTCAGTACAGGTGGCTGAATAAGGTACCAAATTCATACAGAAAATCAATTTCGGAGCAAATGAAGCATGATCTGAAAAGCTGGGAAGAACTGTACAGCTGTGTCGACTTGGTTGACTCTCCTGAGCAGTGCGAATCCATCGACCCAGATTTAGATCGAACCCGGGACCCCACAGCTAGAGCGCAAGCATACTACCCACCCGGGAATCGGGTAGCCGAACAGACCATTTTCCATCTTACTCATACCTGATGTAGCACAACCCACCTTTGCAAGCGTGTTGCGGGTATTACAGCTCGTTTCAGCTCTAGCCTCCGGGGTTATGACTCGGTTGGAATTATTCCAACCCGACTATATGTTACCTGTGAAACAGCTGTCCACTGCCTCCTAACTTTTCAGTTCACATTCCTTTTCTCTGTACATGATCAGATCCAATGTACCAGTATTGATCAAAAATATAGAAGAAATGAAAATCCAATTGGTTAAGCGGATTTCCCAATTTTTTTATCGGTTAAGGATTCACTGCAGAGATGGACCCATCCAGTAGGAGTAGATCGGGGATTTTCCTGAAAATAAAAATTGTACCACAAGATTGCATTTTTTAGATTATGAACTTATAATTTTTAGTAACTCCCACCCCCACTACTTACCTACAGTGCTTATGATTTAGGCACACTGGACACATCGGCTATCGGCACAGCGGATTCGTCTATTCCGCGACCAAATGCGTATCGTTGTGAAAATGTTAAACTTGTAATGCATATTTTGAACGTGCGTCGCTTAAGGAACCAAATAGTATGATTTCCGTGCCCTCTATTGAAGGAACAGACTGAATGATAGGATTTCTTTAGAACACAGTCCATACCATTCATAAAAATCTCTGATCCTGTGTTTAATAGTTCTGAAAGAGGAGATTACGTGATCGACGTGACTCATGAACTAAAGTGTTTTGTTGTGTATCGGAATGCAAACGACGGGATCTAGGCTTGGACGACAATTTAGTCAGGCTTCTTTATTTTGCCCTTCCCCCACTCCCTTGGCGTTGACCAGCTGGTTCCGTTCACTCCCGCCTCCCCCAGCATCCTACAACTGCACACAGTCTCACTAGTCCCACTCATGCATTTGGACAGATTCACTCAGGTGTCGTTCTAACTCAGCTTTAATTAGGCCGAAGGCTGTCAATTTGGTCTCTCGTAAATGACTGTGGTGATCCCAGCCTGCGAGATGGCGCGTATCCTGGAGCGACGCGTTACATTTTTAAGACAACTGTGATCAATCATGCCCCACGGGTGACGTCAGCAAAGAGCTTGCGTGCAACAGCGTCTGGACTAAATACCGTAGATCGATCGCACCAGCCAATGAGAACCCGTGTGGTTCAGACAAAAGCTGAACGGCGGCAGAAATACTGGAACGCGATTGGCAGGATCCCTGATGACCAATGATCTTGTTTTGTACGTATTATTAATCCCCCCTTATTTCTTTCAATAAATGAACCACTACTCCTGTGGTCTTTCCTCGCTTCTGGGTTACGTGGGATATTGCTTGCAAGTGCCGGTGTGATCCAGTGCTTACGTGGCGTCCGTGATTTCTAATAAATGTTTAGTATTCCGTAACCCGTGTTTCGTGTTCATTGCGTACTACTACTATCATTACTACAACCACTACAATGACTTGGCCTCATCAACCACGGAAATAGAAAATTAAAGGCCGAAAAATGATTTCTTTTTTTGAGAAAATGAAGAATAGCAGCAATGGCGATTGGAAAGATGGATGGATTAATTTCCTGACTACTTTGTGATTGCTACCATAGTGAGTGATCAGTCATCCCCACCAGATATGTTAAAGAGAGAGAGAGAGAGACGGAGATATCCAGTTTCGGGACTAAACAATTCAAATGACTAAATAATAGTAAGTCAATGTTCTTTTTTAATCGTTGTCATTTATGTAACAAAAATTGTCTAAGAATTTTGAAGATATTCGTGTCGTTTAAAATTTCCCTTATCTATTTTGTTATATATATATATATATTTATATACACCGAAAATGGTATGTTTCTACATTCAAGTAATGGAAGCTTTTTATTATGGACTAGTTGTCAAGTCAACTCAGCTCGCCCCCCCCCGAAGGGATTTTAACTAGTTCATCCATTAAAGTTATCAGACTTTGGTTACAAAGTCCCTCAAACATTTAGCGTTTCTTGTCCACCGTGTGTTTTGCGCAATTTTCACTGAATCACACTCTAATATGCTCTTGAAAATGCACTGAACTACGATTAATAAAATATCTACCACAAACGGTATGGTCAGTTTTGTGATTGCTCATCATGGATGTTTATTCAATTAGGAGATTTGTTGACGTGATTCGAATTTAAGCGGGCTCCCTTAGTCAATTACTTGGGACTGGCATCCTGCTTGTCGCACCTCATGTTTTATTCAGTTGTTGTTATGGTTTACTCAAAATTATTACTTTTAATATTATTATTATTTACTCGAAAATTATTCGCTGCAGTATCTTCTGTCACTGGACTTCATTCCCCCCCCCCCCCCACCCTCCTCTCAGACACAAACAAGCACACTCACTATTTGTTTCTTTCTGGCAATGATTATTTGCCACTGACGAAAAAAAACCAGACAACCTGAGATTAGCCTCAGTCCACTATTCCGTCATCAGTTTTATTTCCCTTCTAGTTCCCTAATCATTTGATTTTAATCTGAACAATAAACTAAAAATCATGAATGACTATGCATACGAGAAACTTCTTCGTTTCTATTGTTCATGTTGTTCTCATGCATAAGAGAACCAGTAAAAGAAAATAGATGATTGGTAGCATTTTTCCCTTCTCGTCCAATTATAAAGAACGGGTATTGCAACTATTCCTTTTCGACTTCAAGTGAATCGGACGAACGGTCAAACTCCATCCCACCCCACTGAAACTTTCATCCCCGCTCGGTAACTCACTCAAAATAAACTTTTGTTTGTTTACGGAGTTCATTCGAACTGGAGAGGGGTTCTAGTCAGACCCGGTCCAATCGGTGACATTTGACGACCGAAATACCAATCATCTCATGTGGTTCCCAGGGGAATGGTTGGGGATTGGTTAGATTCATTTTAGGTTGAAAAGGTGTAGTTTGATTCAAGTAAACTAATTAAGTAGTTAAGTTGTCCGCTTTCGCTTTCCGAATACGACTAGTACAATCAACCGGAAGGATAAGCCTAGGGGCTGGATATGATGAGCCACGGTTGGAAAGAGGTTGGAAAGTATGGTATTGAGTCAGACAATGGCAGATAACGATAATTTTCACAGTCTTGTCAATGCATCACAATGTATGTTACCAATTAAACGAGGGATGATTGCTGAGAAAAAAGAAGATTAACACGGCAGGTCACTGGGAGTTAGTTTCAGCAAATGTAAGATACACAGTAATTACCACTTTTTCTTATAATAGATTTGGATAAAGATCACAAACCTCGGTGAGATTCGGACCCAACCACGTAAGACGTACTATGAAGTGTATCCATGCATTATTGAACCAAACCAAACCAATCAGTATAAAAACCGTTGTCCAGCTAATTTCACCTGATTTTCCTTCCCAAAATTCACCAGAAACTCTATAAACCAAAGCAACGTTCATTCAGATTCACAGCCTCCGCAGGCTGATTAGCTTTGTCCAACATCACCGAGTGATTTTGCACAAAATTGACTAAACATTGACCATTCTATTTCGGTGGTCACAAAAGGGAAAACTTGTTTCAACTCTTATCCGTTGACAGTAATGTGAAACATTTGGAACAAAAAAACAAATCACAGAACTAAAATGATCCTCCTCTAATCCTCTCGTGAAGTTTTGATCAGACCGGAAATAATCCGACACATTCAAGGATTAGTTCGATCCCTTGTGGCTGAATCACATAAACGGTACAGACTGGTGGCGGGGATCAGCTAAGGAGGGGTTTACTCAGATCTGAACGGATACAGGTAACAGGGTGTGGGTTGAATGTGTACATCAACACGCAAACATGGAAAACTGTAATGCCAGTCTGTCCGCTTGGACGGAAACCATGAGCTGAAATAGGGCAATCAGATTTCACCTATAAAAAGAGTATAAATGGCGTTCCTGTCCAAACCAAATTTCCGGACTAGTTTACGATTTATTGGAACAAGCGGTCAGCACTAGACCATGAGGGTAACTACAGACAGCAAACGTTGGTAACAGACCAACATATAGTAAGCATTCGTACGTATATTCCTACCCTTCGCGCATCCTCTCTCCTCGTCCGCCACCACTTGTTCGTCTGAACTGGGGACAATCGATCGATCTATCGATCGATCGATCGACTGATCGACCGATGGCCTGTTTCGAAAATGGTGACTCATCGAAATGAACAAAAATGGTCACGCAAACTAGACTGGGGTTTGTGGATTATGAATGCAAAAAAGCTATTGATTGCTCAGTTTGCCGAGTAGACAAAAATATTACGGATTTTGGGATGGTAACAGTCTACCGACTTACTAAAATCAAGCATACGAAAAGCCTGCCAATATAAACATTTCAGCCTAACTTTTGCCACAATACAGCTGAGTAATTTATCCAACAAATTCCGACTATTGGTCCGCAGAGCAATCAATCAAATCCTAATCTAGTCCGGAAATTTTTATCGATCATATAAAACAGCTTAACAGTCATCAAGTGGGGGTGTTCAAATATTACGCTGTCTACTCCATTGTCAATTATTGTAGCCTAATGAAATATAAGGTCACTTAATCTATCATGTATCAGATTTGCAAGACGGAATTCAATAATGAAAGGTAATTACTGAATTCAGTGATATTTTTCATTTTTTTATTTCAAATTCGCCTACAAATGATCTGATGGAAATGACCAATCTCACCATAGTT